ATTTTTTATTGATTTTCTAATTTTTTGTTGTATTTTACAGTCATTTATAAAAACTATTCTTAATAGGCTCTGGAATGCTGTTTTATCATTTAGTTATACAATATAGTCATTGGCATGGTAAAAAACCGCCTCAGATTCAATTGTGAAATCAATCACTTAAAATTACACTGCAAACGATATCTTATTTTACATGGCTTCCAAACCATCGAACTACAGTTAAAATACGCATATAAGGAAATAGATCATCAGTGATGCAAGTCAAGTAAGTAAAGGCCGAGACTTGAACCCAATGAACCACGCCAAACCACAAGATCTGCAGCCTCTGCCACTGTATCACCGTGGTCCGTAAAAACTCAATTTATATTTACTTAAAATTTCAAGTACTATTAGTCTTTTGTGTTATAAATGAAATTTGAAAATTGAAAAAGTAGTGATTAATTAGTAATTTATGTAAGATAAAAGGATTATTGTAACGAAATAAAACATAACAGAATTATTGAACTATGGTATTAGAGAAAGAGTAATAACTAATGAAAATTAAGAAATTCAGTATTATAAAAAATTTAGTAAAAAATGAAAATTGATTTTAGTGAATTATTTTAACTTTTATTTCAAGAAAAAATAGTGGAGGGTTGGGGGCGCAGCCCTACTAATAAAAATATCCATTTTTAGCGCATAAGAGGAATCACACAACAAACAACAGTTTATTTTATTTTAGCTCATATTGGCAACATCTTCAAAACACATAATAAATACTCTACATTTGACTCATACCGAATCGTGTACAGTTTTTAAGATGATATCTGAAAATATGAAGATTTTTAAACAAGTATGCTGCTAAAATTAACATATTGTAATCTTCAAACTACTTATTTAACGAGGATTTGAGGGTTCAACGATTTTAGTATTGCTCATATACAAAATTCAGTGTACTCGTAATACACGGAGTTGAAAACTAAAGCCTGACAAGTTATGTCATAAGTCTACAATAAAGCTACTGAACTTCGATTCATGAAACATAACCAACATTTGACTGTATACTTATTTTAAGTTATAGAATCAATCTCTTTTTATGAGCCCAATAATACAAAAACAATTTTTTTTGATAATATTAATCATAACTTTTTTTAAAAGTATTGTTTACTTAAAGAAGAATAGTTGTGGTATAATCAATGTGTAAGAAATGTTAAAGTTCTTGTAAAAGTTTTCGTACCTCCCTAATTTATTTTGAATTTAAATACTCATTTACACTTTATTCATTAATATATTCTTTATTTGATAAGTTACTTTTTTTAAAATACTTTTTTAAAACTTTAAAAAGGGTATTTTTTAGTAACAGTTTTTTTATACAAATATCAATATTCGTTTATTTATCATCATTTATGAATTAAAAAAATAAATAAATGGTTGTTAAAACGTTTTTTTCATTTTTTTAAAAACTTTTTAGCAGTTTTACATTTTTCTTGTTGTTTTTCCGTTGATACAAGTTTTTATGAATACATAAATTAATTTTTATTGCGTCATATTCTTTTACAATATTTTCATTCGTGACTCAAGTGATTTTTTGACTATTGACTTTTAAAGACATTTATTACAGACAGCGGGGTAAAATTTCAGAGAGGTGAGAGGAAAAGTAATGTGCAGCAACGCTGGCAATAATTTTGCTCATATGGAGATACTTTCAGACACACTTTTATGCTTGCTTGATCCCCTCTGTCCTTATTTGTTTATTAAATAACTTGCGGATCAAGCTAAAAATTAAATAGGTGTTAAAAAGTAATCTATTATTATACAACAAAAAGTGAAAGATTTCTACAGATAATATTTATTTATTTATTTATAGAATGAACGGGCCTTGGGCCCAATCACAATAAATTAACAAAGTGTGTTGCCGAGCGCAGCACAAATGCAATTTTACGTGATTCTTCTATAAGGTTACATACAAGATAAAAGAAGTTAAAAAGCGAAAATAGTAGGACAAGTTTTGAGTTATTTTGAATTTTTTGCTAAATTTTTTAAAACTGATTCATTAAATATATTTAATGTTAAAGATATAACAATGAGTAAGTCTTACTGAAGTAACATATGAAAGGAAAGTAATTGCTTCAAATAATACGGCTAAGATTTATAGTAGTGTTGGAGTGCATAGAGCTATAGTGTATAAAAGAGATAAATTGTATGAAATGAGAAGTGAAGCTAAAATTACAGCTAAGATTACTGTAAATTTTATAAGTAATGAAAAGAATAATCATAAAATATTCTAATAGGTTACGTAAAAATGAATTGACTGAAAGATTGCCTGAAAAAAATTGAAAACCCGTGTGTGAAATGTGCTGTTTATTTTGAAAATAAGATTTATAATTTACCATTTAAAAACAACAAAGAGCAAAAGAGATTTTTAAAATTGTTTATAATAATTTACATGGCTCACACAATACTCCTAGTATAAATAGAGACAAATATTTGCTATTGTTTATTTATGATTAAAGTAAAATTGCTAAAGTTAATACAGTAAATTCAGAAGATTAAGTTTATGAATGTTTTGTTTTGTGCATTAAGGAGATGGAAAGCTTAACAGAAAAAAGAATAAAAAACCAAAGTGAATAATGGCAGAGGGTATTTAAACAAAAGAATTTTTTATAAAAGAACCTAAAAAAAGTTGTGTTCATGGCATAGACTGGTAGTTTCTCACTTCAACTTTTGTTGGGAATGGCAAGTCATTAAACATTTTAATTACCATCAAAGTCAGAAAATATTTAAAGTGAACGCTTAAAACTGCATTTCATAATTACAAAAAAAAATTCTTTTCGCCATCAAAAAGAGCAACAGATATAAATAATATCAGAAAAGATGTATTTATTGTTATGATATAAAATAGAAAAATTAAGAAAAAATTCTCCAAGTACTGCTTAATTCTTTTAAATTTAAAAGGAATAAAGAATAAAGAATAAAACTATAAAATCATGTATCGTCAAAAAATGAACAAACACATAATGTATGTTTCAAAAATTTACATGGTGAGTCTGATTATAGTTTAAACAAAGGAATGTGTAACACTTAATATATAAATTATATATATTAGTAATTATTAAAGTATACAAAATTTTCATTTCATTGAAGAAATATAGATGTCATTACAGATAGCAACCTATAAAAATATTTATCAAATAATATGTTATATTAATGATTGCTATTATTTTTTATTGATTTTCTAATTTTTTGTTGTATTTTACAGTCATTTATAAAAACTATTCTTAATAGGCTCTGGAATGCTGTTTTATCATTTAGTTATACAATATAGTCATTGGCATGGTAAAAAACCGCCTCAGATTCAATTGTGAAATCAATCACTTAAAATTACACTGCAAACGATATCTTATTTTACATGGCTTCCAAACCATCGAACTACAGTTAAAATACGCATATAAGGAAATAGATCATCAGTGATGCAAGTCAAGTAAGTAAAGGCCGAGACTTGAACCCAATGAACCACGCCAAACCACAAGATCTGCAGCCTCTGCCACTGTATCACCGTGGTCCGTAAAAACTCAATTTATATTTACTTAAAATTTCAAGTACTATTAGTCTTTTGTGTTATAAATGAAATTTGAAAATTGAAAAAGTAGTGATTAATTAGTAATTTATGTAAGATAAAAGGATTATTGTAACGAAATAAAACATAACAGAATTATTGAACTATGGTATTAGAGAAAGAGTAATAACTAATGAAAATTAAGAAATTCAGTATTATAAAAAATTTAGTAAAAAATGAAAATTGATTTTAGTGAATTATTTTAACTTTTATTTCAAGAAAAAATAGTGGAGGGTTGGGGGCGCAGCCCTACTAATAAAAATATCCATTTTTAGCGCATAAGAGGAATCACACAACAAACAACAGTTTATTTTATTTTAGCTCATATTGGCAACATCTTCAAAACACATAATAAATACTCTACATTTGACTCATACCGAATCGTGTACAGTTTTTAAGATGATATCTGAAAATATGAAGATTTTTAAACAAGTATGCTGCTAAAATTAACATATTGTAATCTTCAAACTACTTATTTAACGAGGATTTGAGGGTTCAACGATTTTAGTATTGCTCATATACAAAATTCAGTGTACTCGTAATACACGGAGTTGAAAACTAAAGCCTGACAAGTTATGTCATAAGTCTACAATAAAGCTACTGAACTTCGATTCATGAAACATAACCAACATTTGACTGTATACTTATTTTAAGTTATAGAATCAATCTCTTTTTATGAGCCCAATAATACAAAAACAATTTTTTTTGATAATATTAATCATAACTTTTTTTAAAAGTATTGTTTACTTAAAGAAGAATAGTTGTGGTATAATCAATGTGTAAGAAATGTTAAAGTTCTTGTAAAAGTTTTCGTACCTCAGACCCTACTATAAAATATACTTTTGCAAGTCACAAGTTGGATCTTCTAAAATTATTTTCGGTATTTCTTGTATAATATTCATAACTTATACGAAAAGACTTCATATAACATGTTAACAAAAAACATCGTGATTTTTCACTGTACATAAAAAAACAATTGGCAATTCATTTAATAATATATTCTATAACTTTAAAACTATTAATACATAAATATAGTTATGGTTTTTCTAAAAAACGACATGAGTATACAAAGGATAAAAATGTATGATTAAAGTAAATAAAATTATTTATTTGTTTTCTTTTCCCGCTTCACCTATGTAGTTGCAACAACTTTGTTAGTGATTACTACTAATTAAAACTAATAGTTTATATGATTAATTGGAACATGTCAAACTTGCCTACCCGTTTACTTTTGTTAAAGGTAGTTTTTAACAGGATTTCTTCACACATACAAAAATGGACCAATTGTGTCTCTTACATTCAAAAATAATTATATTTTATTTTGAATGTTGTAATACAAAATGCACTCACATGGTCAATCTCAGTTATATTTCTGTAGAAAAAAAATATAAAAAGTAATATTACTAACCTTTTAACTTCAACTTGTACTTTTTTAAATTTTTCTAATTGTTTTTTAGTATCTGGATCAAGTTGTTGAGATACATTTTTCATCCACAACAATGTTGCTCTATATTCTGTCCTACATTTTTCTGTTTGTAATACATTTTGAAGTGTATCGTAAATAGCTCGTTGACTAAATGTATCGATTTCCTCATAAAATCTTACCAAAGGTTCGTGTAGAAGCAATAATTGTTGAGCACAAAATACTATTGATTCACCAGTCGTCAGAATCATTTTTCCTGATTTGATGATAATTTTACCGTTTTCTATTAAGAATCTTCCTAACAGATTTTTTTCTTGGGAAAGATCTGAAAAAAAGTTTTACGATTATAATCTTAAAAGTGGTATCTTAACTTTTTTAAACATCTTCTTAATAAATATTTGTAATTGTGAGGTGATGGTTTAACATAGAAACATAAACTTTGAAGATCTTATTGTGCTACAAAATAAATACAATTTTGAAAATAACATTTTCACTTAATATGCATGTTGATCGAAACAAATCTTCTTATTATTTATTAATGATATGGAATTATTTTTCAGCATACTAAAATTTTTATATCATCTTTCACGAGCACTTTCTGATAGATTCAATCGAAAAAATACTGCTAGTTCAAAACAACTTTTCTGCCCTATAATTAGTTCAACATAAATTATGACTATGAAAATGTGAGGTAAGTGACGATAAGAGTGAAAATGAAGCTTTCATCTCATGCTACAGCTTATGTGTATGATAACTTCACAACGTGTTTCCAGTATCACAGATCACTGATGTATGGCGTACCAAAAATATAGAAACGGTAGTTTGATACAATAGTATACTTACATATAATACAATAAAATTTTAAGTACATACGTATTAATACATACATACATGAATTTATTTATTTATTTGCTGATTTTCAACATGACTGTTATAATTAATACTGTTTAACTATTTAAATTTAATACCACTAAATTTAATTGTGAAACTAAAAACTGTTTTATTCATAATGAAATGTTGCATCTAGACTAGACTTCATTAGCGTTGTTGTCTAAACTTGCATCATCGTTGACCTGCATTTTTTAGTCAGCAAATTTTGTTTGGTAGTGTTGTACCACTGTTACAGAATGCAGAATTGCAATTTAATGGCATAGTGATATAATTTTTGTATTTTTAAATAAAGTCACAAAAATTTTAAATGAAATCTTCATTCAAGATTAGCAGTTCTTCATTACCGAAAAATCTGTTGTGTCTTTAAAAATCTACATTTGCTTGTTAAGAGAAGCAAATATATAATATTAGTAATATTTATGACAAATTGACTTTTTCCATTCGTACTAAATCTCATTTTTCACACACTTGTCAGTATACACTAAAGATGTATATTTGAAAAAAAATGTACATTCAAATTCATAGTGTTTCATAAGAATATGAACGTTATCAAAGTTCTATCAGTTAACTTCAATCATGATTAAAACAAGAGGGTTAACCTTGCTTTAACTAAATCTTTAAGCAAATTTTTTAAAATTTAGGAAAAATTTTATGACAAGACAAGAGAAGTGTTAAAGTCTGCAGATAAGCAATAAAACGTTTAATAAAAAAAAAAAAAAATTTTTTTTTTAAATTTCCGTATGTTTTGCAGTTCAAAGTTGTGGAATTAAAAATTATGAGAGAAGACAAGAGCGGGAACTCATTCAAAACTTTATTGAATGAAACTAAACAAAATCTTCTATATTTTCGAATCAACACAGTAGAAAACAAATTAATCATCCGTAATCCCTCTTCCTAACAAAAACAGGAAAAATTAAATAGTTATGCTAAATCAAAATTTTCATTTCATTGATTTTCAATAGAATTGTAACATAACATGATATTACCATACCATGCCGTACACTAAAATTCAAAAATACTGTTATGATTTGTATGATTACTTTCAATTAATTTTTTGAACACGTGTATTTTCATCTTATCCAGTGTGTATGTCCTATCCAGTAAAAAAATCTTCCAAAATAACATTTTCTACTTCTGGATAATTTTCATGTTTAATTTGCATCAATGTCTATTTTTTAATTTTGCATCTTAATAAGCATTCGTATAATTGTCCGTTTGAGAAAAATTATCAAAATGATAAATAATTCCTATTATTTAAATTCGTACCAAATAATAACTGTTGAAACAGACAAATAAAAAACAATACTATAAGTACAACTAAAGTACCATTATCCAAATATGTTATTCACCTCTACATTTTTATAATGACTTAATTTTAATAAATAAGAGAATATATCAAGCTCTGAACATTCACATGTTGTACATTAATTTTACCGATTAAGAGATAGTATTGTTATGAGACCTGACTTGAGTGACTTTCCTCACCCCTCTCAAGATTTTAAAATCGCTTCTGAGGTTTCCTTGGAATAAAAAAAATATCAACACTGTATTATACCTTGTTATATAATTAAGTATTCTCTGCACCAATTATCGAAAAGAAATTTTATTNCCGATTAAGAGATAGTGCGCACAGCGCGCAGTATGTGGAGCCACTCTCACCCCACCCACACACACACACACACACACATATATATATATATACACATATACACTAGTAGGGCTCCACTCCCGGCACGCTACTCGCAAAAATCCTCCACTACTCTAATTTTAACAAAATGCCTTTCCATTTAATATATTAAATAGATACCTATGTAAAATTTGAATTTAGGATCTTTTTAACTGACAATTTTAGTTTAATGACCTTAAGAAAATGGGCAACTAAAGTGAATTTTTCATTTTACTCAACGATCCTACTACGCTACACCACATCACCAAAGTGCGTTTGCGTAGGTATAAAATTTTCAAATTTTGATCTTCATCCTACCCTTAATTTTCCAAAAAAAAAAATTTATGATTTTCTCAAAAATCTAACCACCGACCTTCTGCGCGCTAGCTAAGTATCCTATCCACTTAAGTATAAGCGACCCCTATAAAATGAATCTCTCCTTGTTCTAGTGTAGTTCTCAACTTATCTCTAATTTAGGTATTTATTTACTGTTTGATGATTAATTAGTCAAAAATAAATTATATTAAATAATAAACTACTTATTTAATTAACTATTTGTTTCTATAAAAAAATTTTATACAACGAAGTTTTTTATGTTACGTTACCCTTTGACGTATACGTATAATAAACGAATTACGTATAAACAATTGATGGTAAAACCAAATTCAGTTTCTTACAACTTTAATTTCAATACTACAAATTTTCAAACAATAAAAAACCATGATGAGATTGGTATATTTAAGTTTTTTATTTATCATTTTTTGACAACTTACACAGTCCATACAATTAAATTGTAGGAATGTAGTCTATCTTGTGGACACATTTCAAAAACACTACATCCTGTTAAAAAGATATAACACCTGAAAAATTAATACACTTACTTCTGCTAAGATTTCTTTGGGTAATGTGAAACTTTCAAAATTAACGAAACATTTTTTTTTTACCTATTATTTCATGAATGAACTGGTTGGACATCGTTCAAAGATATCAGAACACATAAGAAAATAACGTATAAAGCGTTCAAAGATATTGCAATTGCAATGGATTTAATAGATCATGATGAAAAAATATATGACATTTTTGAAGAACAATTGCTGTTATATTTAAATATCAATTAAGACAATTTTTTGTTTGGTTTTTAAATTCAGAAAACATGGAAGGTAATAAAATATAGAAAAAATATAAAGAATTTTTCTTGGAAGATATGTATGATAGTAAAAATAATTCTGCTCTTTCACACAATACCCAAATTTTAAAATCAGAAGATAAATCATTATAATGTTTTAATTTACTTTTACTAGAAAAAAATGAAGAAAAAAATGATCGAGATAACAAAATACGTTTCAGTAAAAAAATGTTTAACTCAATGTATACTTGTCTAAATATTGACCAGAATAAAATATTTTATATTATTTGCAAACGAAAAAATAGTATTTTCTTTCTCAATGAGCTGGGAGGGTCTGAAAAAACTTATTTGAATAAAACGTTAATTTATTATTTTATTTCTCGAAATGAAAAAAAATTCTTTCAATGGCATGGACTGGCATAGCATCAATTTTGCCCCCAAAAGGGATAACAAGTCATAGAACTTTTAGACTTCCTTCAGATCCTAATAATATACAGAGTGCCCTTCAATATAAGAAAATTCAGAAAAATTTATTTGATTATTTGGGATGAGGCTTCAATGATTATGAAAAAAAAGCATTGAAAATAGTAGACAGAACGTTAAGAGATTTGTGTGACAGTAAAAATATTTTGGAAATAAATTAATTATTTTAGGAGAAGAATGTTGTAAAATTATCTCAGTGATAAATAGTAGTAATTAAAGGATTATAATTGAACAAACAGAAGAATTATAATTCAAAACAATGGAGCAGAACGTAAATATGCTTGATGACCGGCTGATGGATACAGTCAAGTCGAAATTTTATTACTGTAATACTAAGTCTCTTAATGGGACTGTATAACAAAGAAAAAATATAATACCTTAACATAATAAGTTTTAATGCAAATTATTAAAAATCAGAAATCTCTATGAAGAGACTTAAGATCAAACCGATTATAATTGTGTGTGCTGAGTCGTGGATTCTTAAACATTACCAACACTATGTCATACAAGGGTGATAGAAATAATATAATTTTAGAAAAATTAACAAAGCTGATAAAGTAATAGTGTATGTTAAAAATGAGATGAATGAAAACACTAAAATAATTAAAATAAGAAAACTACAAATATTGCATACTCGAACCATGCTAAATAATGAAATCAATATAGATGTAACATCATTTTATAGATGCCATGATTTTGCATTCAATGAATTCAATTTGTGTATTAAAAAAAATTTTCACAAAAAATAAAAAATACTTAAAACTTTTTGATAATTGGAGATTTTAACATAAATATAGCAGGGTGCTATGTGATTAGTGATGATTTTTCGAATAATCTAGCGAAAAATGGATATTACTCAGATTTTATTGATACAACTAGACCAAACGATTCCAGTAGAAGTGGTTCATGTATTAATAATATTTTTATTAAGAATACTGATTTTAAAGCAAACACCTTCAAATGAGAACAACCAATGCCTGATCATTACTCTTTGTTCATGTAAATAAATGAATATCAAAAAATTATAGAAGATAGCCAGAAATTTCATTTTCATTATGATAAACTCAAAATAATAGCTCATAACTTAGATTGAAAGGATATAAAATCAATTCATGAACCAAATAGAGATGTGAATAAACTTATTGAGATAATACAGATA